CCAGACCATATATGGCAACAGTGTTCAATGCAAGGACAAATGGTAGATTTGAAGGATGGACTCAGGCAAGAAAAACATTCTGGTGCGACACAGAGGAACAACTTTCCTTGCGGTAGATGAAGCTATTGATTCAATGTAGTTGTTCCACCCCAGATCAGTGGAAAACATAAGACCAAGAAGGTGCAGAGAGATGCTCTTGTGAAGTTGGGAATCAGCCATGCTGATAAGAGGCAGGGAGGGTTCTCTTATTTAATGATTTGTGTTGATCTGGGAAAGTGATTATAGCTATTTTCTCCTCCAGACAGCTTTACAGTTTTTGAATTTGTTGTTGTAGGCTGATGCTGTTTTCTTTATTCTCCATGATATTTTTGGTATAATTTAGTTCTTGCTTTTAATTTCCTGTATATGTTTAGAATTCAGTGTGCTGTTCACATATTTACTATTTGTAAAGAATGTTTTGTGTGTGTAATTTCTCTGTTTCTAGGGTCCTTCAGTTATTCCAATTTTTGTTTTTTTTTTCATTGTTATCTACTGATTTTATAGTTGGTTGGTATATTATATCGTTTGCAAGCAATTGCTATTTAAGGGTCATTAATTCCTTTCTCTGCAGTTACAGGTGGGTTTGATTTGTGCAGGTGGTTGTTGGTTATTTTTCTGTTGTACCTTTTTATGATTTGGCATATTCTCAGTACAACCTTAGCTGATTTTTTTATTATTTTTTTTTTATACTCTGTGATGTGTATGTGAGTTGCCGAAAATCCACTATCTTTTAGGATTGCTTCATAATCTCTTTTGGCTTCATTGAAGATGATTTCATTGGAAATATATATATATATATATATATTATTCAAACACTTGCATCTCTCTTTGCCTGATTTTTTTTGAACAGAACAAGATTTGTCCATTTCCTACATTATAAGCTTTTTTTCTGGAATATGATTACTTGTCTTGCCACTGCTTTTGCACGAAAGGGGGCTGAAGAATGAATCAATTGTGCAAGTAGATTTGATTGTTTGAGCAGTCAGATTTGTTAATGAATCTTATCAAAGTTATAAACAATAAAAACGATTACATGACCATTATATACAAATCAATGTGCCATAAACTCATATTTATTCCCAAATTTATATTCAGAGTCAGTGTGTAAAGTAGATAATCATTTTAATGAGCTGATATTTTTTCTTTCTTATGCAAATAGATGAAACCATCCTGTTTAACCCCCCACACACACACACACACACTTTGGGGTAAATCTTGGGGCAGGAGAGAGCAATTTCTCTAATTGTTTTGGATTGCTCCATCTATTGATTACTTCTGCACTCATCTGTGATTATTTTAACCTTCTTCAGTAAAACCAACAGGAAAGAATGATTTGTTTGGTTGTGGGGGAGGGGATAAATACTTTGTAAAAATATGTACCCCCCCCCACACACACACACATAAAAACACGAAAAGCAAACCTCATTCCCATGCCTATCTGTATCTAACCATTGGGCTGAGTTTATAACTATTGATCTCTGGTCTTCTCACCTAAATCATTGGTCTCTGCATTGAATTGATTTTCTCTACTGCAGTTGAAATCAATTCTTTGATCTGTTTTTATAGACAGATAACAGATTTCTGCTGATTTCAGCCTGAGAAATTCAATACTAATTGCTACAAATCAGTGACTGGCTAAAGTTTTATTTATTCAAATACTTGGATGGAAACTTAATAGCTGAACTTTGTCTAATGTCTATTTTATTGGCGGCAGGCCATTCTTGCTTCAGAATTGTCCGACAACCAGAATCCAAAGTTTTATCTATAGAATAAGGAAATACATTTGCAGTTTGCATACATGGAACATTCTGATGCTGCTCATAGAGCCTTGACATTACAAAATTTATCAAATTGTGCATTCAACAAAGTAATTGTTGTTGTCTTTAGTCTTTTTCTTCTTTGGCTTTTCCCTGTTGTATGCCTGGATTTCAATATGTCTTCATTTTCCCTCTCTACTGCAACATATCAGTTATTTTTTTGTTAGGGTCTGGAATCAGAATTGTGATCAGCAAATGATACAGGAATCTCTAGCAGACATTTAGTTGTACAGAGAGTTGATTAATTGTAGAATCACATGACTGTATGCTTATGTCTCCTATTAGTAGTGAAAAGAAACTTTTCTTGGTAAGGTGTCAATGTCATTCTTAGTCCTATCACCCAGTCCTTTGATTCTATTGGGCTGATATGTTCCATTTGAAAAGAAGAAGAAAAATTAAAAATTCCAGAAACAATGATGAAAATAATAATTTGAAGAACAAAATATGACAATTATTTGACACATGACTTTCATTTTCAATTTGGATAAAATTGGGATCAGAATGATATTTTCTATCTTTCAAATTACAAAAATGAGTTCCCGGTGTTTTATTTTATACCTTACTATTTGCACCAGCATGTTTATCTTGAGTACTATACTCTCAAAAAATAATTCCAAAATGATTTTCTTGGGGATTGTTTGCAACTTAAATTTATTATTTATTTTGTTTCATTCTTGACACTGCTTTGCTTTTCTTTTTTCTTTTTTAAATCATTTCACCCCAAGCAGGGCAATACAGCCACTAAGACTTACTTAAAACTAATATGAGAAAAAAGGAGAGCGAACAATAATTTTGAGAAGACAACAATTGATATTCCATTGATATTTTTAAAGATCAAATTTCACTGGAAAGCAATAAGCTAGAAGAAAGTTCCATAAGTAAAAAGTGTGACGGAACTTATGCTTACATCTTTCCATTTCAACTGTAAAAAATGGTAAGACCTTGCCGCCAATCTAGTACCGTGCTTAAATTCATAGAGCCTAGGTACCATAGAGGAAAGTTCATCAGAACAATTACCATAAAAATATTTCTACAAAAAGCATAGTAAAGCTATGTTACATCGATGGAAAAGTGACTGAAGCCTAGATGCCAGGTCAGGATGGTTATCATTGCAGATTGTATTTTATCAGGTATCTCTGAATACATAACAGAAGCACTAGACCAAATGTGATAACAATATTCGATGCACAGATGAACAGTATAAATGTGTAAGACTGATTTCGGTGCAAAAAATTGTCTGTGAAACAAGTTTCCTAGCAGTAGTCCTAGCAATTGATTCTAGTTTTGAATTTATGCCAATGAAAAATGTTAACCTTTGAAGGTACAAATAGTCACTTTCCTGGAGGTTAGCATTAGCCATGTTAATGGAAGACAAAAATGGTTTTCTAAGATGATTTAAAAAGACCAGTTTCATTTTGGAAGGGTTAAAATTAACAAGCCATTTCTTGCCCCAGTTAACAACAGATTGTAGGTCATTTTTGAGATCAGCTATGAATTTGATCTTCTTGAACTAATCAGACTTACTGTTAAGACAGGCATAAATAGCTTTGTCATCAGCATAGATACTGTTGAGAACTGATGACATCAGGATAGTTGTTGATGAAAGTTAGGAACAACAACAAGTCCAAGGAAAATGTCCTTAATGCAAAAAAATGTAGAAGAGTGGCCATTTAAGATGACTTTCATTTTGCAATTTGATAAGGAAAATTGAATTGGATCAAAAATTTATCCAGAATTACTGTTACCTTTCAATTGGTGAAGAAGACCAGCTTTTGCTTAAGGAAAATTCAAACAAAAAATAGATTTGTTCAGACAAAAGCCATTTTAAATTTTTCAGCTGAAATCAGAAAGTTCTATTATAAATATTTGTATATATCTTCTGATGTCTTCTGTCTCACTTGTTGATTTATTTTTAATTCCTCCCCACTCTTACTCTTTTTTGAAATTTTGCCACTCAGTTTAAACAATTTGCATTGCTACTGCTTGCCAAGGTCGGCTCTTTCTCCTGCTTTAGAAAGTGTCTGATTCTTTCTGCCATGCTTTATCTTCATAAGAGTCAGATTAGACCAAATATGAAGTATTTTTACCATATCTGGACAGGAATTGCTCAATCTTCACTTTCCAGTCTTGATAGAGTTCAATATCTTCTACATACTTGTTTTCCTTAGTTCAGCTTCTTTTCCATAGATGCAACATTGCAAGCCTATCAATTCTCCATTGCAAATTTTTTAAACATATCACTCCAAGCAAGTCTGGAGTGCCACTAGCACACAAAGGATTACAGAGAATGAGAGCAAGGGTAAAGAGGGGTGTTTGAGGAAAGGATAAAGAGAAGGATGGGGAACAAGATCAAGGCATCAGAAGATGTTGATTGACATTACATTTGAATATTTGAAGATTATAGCTATGAGGGAAGCAAGTAAGAGGAAGGGAGTTCCACAGATGGGAAGTGCAAGATAAGAAGCTGTTGGAATAGAAGAGACGGCTACATTTAACCGTTTCGACAGTGAAAGTATGGGACCGAGATGCCAGCTTACTAGCACACTTAAATTCATGCATTTTGGAAAGCAGTGAAAGTAGCTCGTCAGAGCAGCTGCCATGAAAATACAAAGACAGAAGGAAGCCATAGCATGTTTGGGAAAAAGTGACTGTAGACAAGATGCCAGATCAAGACCCACCACATTGCATATCTCTCTCTGGATTTTGTCAAGGGTCTCAAGACAAACAGCGGGGGGTTCACCAGACCATATATGGCAGCAATATACTATGCATGAATGGTTGATTTGTAGATTTGAAAGATGGACTCGGGTGAGAAAAACTTTCTGGCATGACATAGAGAACCAACTTTCCTAGTGGTAGATGAGTCTATTGATTCAATATATAATTTCTATAGCAAATGTTCAGATGGATTTTCATTATTCTACCAGTTCAGACCTTTACAGCTAGGGTTACTCTCATTTCGTCTGAATTCAAATTATAAGGAGAAAGTCCTATTCAGACAGTTTTTTTCCAAAGAACTGCTACTTTGTGGATCGGACTCCCATGTAGCTGCTTCCCTGTACACTACAAACTTAACCACTTCAAGGCAAGAAAGAATCATTATTTATCCTTCTAATCTTCTTGCCACCTTTTACATTCAGGCTTACAGCCACATCACATTGAGGCACCAGTTTCTATATGATCACTAAAGTTAAGTAACATTGAGCTTGGTCAGTATCTAGATGAGTGACCCCTTGGGAATACCAGGTGTGGTAAGTTTGGATGGTATAATGGATAATAGTTCAGAATTGTTAATCCAAGAGCTAAGTTCCAATTCCAGTTGAGTTTGTTATATTCACTTATGTGCAAATACAATTGGGAAAGGGATGAATAGATCTCTTCACCCCCCCCTGCTATGAGTTAATTAGTTAGTATTATAACTCACTCCTAATGGTTATAATAGTAAGTCTTGCTTAAGCACTTGCTTTGACGTCACTAGAATTCTCTCCAACTGATTCCTGACTTACTTTGAGTTCTTTATTTAAGGCATCTTGCCTAGTTCATTTGTGTTACTGGGAATGCCTTATTTACTCCACAGCCATTAGTTAGACTTGTAACACTAAAAAATTATTATCTCCAAAAAGAAAATTCTTACAATCTAAAAATATTTTCTAGCTTTAAGTAACCCACAAATGATGGTAAGCTGTAGAAAACCAACCAACTCTTACATTCATATCACACACCTTGTTCAGTAACCCTCTACCTTGAATGATTCTCATGTCTTTTATTGGGGGAATATAAGTAAAAACAAAAGAAAAACAGTAGAGTAGTGGAGATGAAATTCTAGCATATACAGTACCTTATATATTTACTTTCTGAAGAATGGAACATCTGTATCATAAGATCCATTCATTTGATCTACATTAGATTATCCAATTCTCTCTAATGACTATCATTCTTCTTTGTATCATGTCCCTTCAGGAAGTGAGTGATCATGGCTCTCCACAGCTTTCTATCTCTTAAATCATTTAGTAAGGTTTATCATTTCACCATCTCTCCTAATCCCTGTTCTGTCATCCATTTACACAAGTTTATTTGATAAGTTACTCACTGCTTTCCACTGTCCCTCTTGCCTTTAATATATCCTGTGAGTATCAAATTTTCCAAGCCCTCTCTCCCTCATGTGTCCTAATGACCATCAAAATAGACTTAGTTGTATGTAATTTTTGTGGTTGCATATGTTTATTACTGAAAAAGGTTTGGAAGTGAAGTTGTCATTGTCTTTTCTGTGCCATGTCCCTTCACGATGTCTGCAATCATGACTCTCTGCAATTTCTGTCTTTCATCTGTCTAATATTTTCTCCTTACTATCACCACCGATCTCTGTTCTACCATCCATTTGTAACACGAGAGAAAATGACTTACCTCCTGGCAGAAAACAGATTCAGACATGTCTTGCGTGTAAAGTATGCCAAAAAGAAAATGGCAACTTTACGAGTCGTATATTTAAGAAACATTAGATCTTGGAATAACATACTTTTGTGAGACACTTTTTTTTTTTTTTTTTTTTTTTTGCACCTAGGAAAATTTGAAGTGTCACTCAAGCTACAAAAAGTATTTAACGAGGCAACAGAGCACTGATACTGCGTGAGCAAACAGAAGACGTGTATTGAATTGTTTGACTTACACTGTGCTGTCAGGTGAGAGAAACAAATTATAGAAGAAACTGACTACAGTTTAGGTAGACTATTTGCTGTTTCCTCAGCCCTCTCTTGCCTTCACTATATCAAGTGAGCATCATATTTGCCAAGCCATCTTTTCTCATGATGTCCCATGAACTTCAAATATCTCTTTCTGATTCTAAGTAAGTCTCCTCTTTATTCACTGCCATATCAATGAATATTACACAGCAGCTCAAGATCTTTTCTTTGTTTCTAACAAAAATTTCTTTTCGCCTTATAATTTTAGTGTTTGGAGGACATCTATTTCTATTCCAACATTCCTTCATATTCTGTCACATTTTCTATTGTTTGTTAAAACACTTACCAGATATTTAAATTACTTGAAGTACTTTAAATTATACTTGAGTTTTGTATCTCCAATTCATAGCTGCCATATTGTGTTGCCTATAATGACAATAAATATCAGCCTACAGTTGCTGGTTAGGCCCTTATTGCTAAGGAAATTGTCCTGCATTTACTGCCATAGACAAGTATTAGTATTATGTAATAGATTAGTATTCTTTTGTTTCTTTCTCATGAAATTTTGAAAGAGCAAGGACAAGATTAAAAGGATAGAAATTTAATTGTGGCGGGGATAATTCCTACAATTTGGATTATTATTTTCCTCTGCTATTTGATCCAGGAATTTTTTTTTCTAGAGCTTTGTTGTGATCATCCACCGATAAAAATACAAAAAGGATTGATTTCTTGCAAGAACGTCATGATACATTAATCCATCAAGTTGGAGGGAAAAATTTAAACAAACTTTCTGGATTTTAATAATTTCTCAGTTAAGAAGGAAAAGTGGCATTTATGATTTGTTTGCATGTTTATCTGCACAACATTTCAATCTGTTTAAAAATTTTATACATACATACATGCACACACACACACATGTATGTGTTTGTGTGTGTTGAGAGGTATTATACAAAATTTGAGTTCTTTGAGTTGAGGAAATTCAATGGTGAGAAAAAAAAATTGTAAATTTCAAAGTCAAAAGATAAATAGAAAAAACATTTTTCTAAAAATTTCAAAAAGAAATTTTCCAAAATTTATTGCTCATGGCTAACTTTTGGCTGATTCTAAGCCATATTCTAAACCTGTTAAAGATCCTGAGGAATTCTTAACAGGTTTTATTTGTCTGGTGTAGGAGGCACTATTTTTCTGGAGTAGGAGGGGTGCTATTCACTCCTCTCATCACTACCAGATTCTCTCATTTTAAATATTAAGTAAACAAGTTTTATTTTAACACATTACAAGAGAAACTCATTTTCTTTGTTGGAGAATAATTTTGTAGACACACATAAGTCTTGTCTGAATGCTCTTTACTGTATCAGTATTTACTTAGCATAGCTTAGTCTGGCACAAGGCTACATATATAGGAAACTCAGTAAGGATTGAGCTCACTACAATGTGTTGGGTTAGCTTGTTAATGATAACATCAGAAGAAAACATCCATTCTATTTCAATTTGTTACAATTTTATATGGAAGTAGACAGAATCATATTAAAAAAACTTTGTAGATTGACACTCAGTTCCAGATAAATTCCAAAACAGCCAATGCAATGTTCTGAATCTGTGTTTCCAAATTGTGTTTCCAATTTCTTAAGAGTAAAATGGAATTGCCAGTAAATGGTCTACAGAACATTTGCAAGAATTTTTGCAAGTGTCAAAAAATCTCCACATCTGGGATTGCATTAAATGTCTCTGTCAATTTTGTGTAGCATTGGATTAAAATCAAAAAGGTCAGAAGTTCAATTTCACCTTTCAGTATAATATCTGGGTAAGGCTTTACATATTCAAAAAGAAATTTTTTAAAAAGATTTTAAATTTAACATTAAATTTAAATGTAATTGCATCAACATAAACACTACTTTATTTCTATGATATCCTAAAGGACAAAATGCATCACACCTTTTTCCACTTTGTCATAGATTTTCCTTAACAAGGAAAATTAATTTTTTTAAATTGTTCTAAATCTATATATACCAACTAAGACTGTTCTTTTCTCATCTCTACACTTAATACAGAATATTTATTTTTATCTAAAGCAGTTGTTCTTAATCCCAAATAACATTCCTCCCCTTACAATCTTACGTTTACTTACTGCCTTCTCAATTTTGAATTTTGTTATCTTATAATTTTTACTGTCATTATACTTACAATTTATACCTGATTAAAATTCTTCCAGGCTAAAATTTCCCACATAGATTTGAAATTCCTTCTTTGAAGCCAAGTGCTTCCTGCTTCTTAACCACTAATTTAGAGAGATTAGTGTTAGGGATGAAACAAGGAAAGGATTGTATAAATTTTGTCTGCTTTCTTGTTTAATTGGATGTGCAGGTGGCGTAATGGATAGTGGCTCAAAAACAGGAATTGGAAAGCAGTTTGAATTCTAGTCAAGTTTGTTGCATTCACTTAGCTGCAAATACCCTTAAGAAAGGTATGAATCCATCCACTCTCCCCACCTATAGATTAAATAGTAGCTCTTTTTATCTGAAAGAAAAATCATAAACTCTAAAAAAAATTGTTAATGTGAAAATTCACTTAGAAAAAAAAAAGAAAGAAATCTGGCAATCCCAAAAATGTTTTGCTTTTACATAAACAACAAAAGGTTGATAAACTGTAAAAAAAATACAATAAAATAAAAATCGATCAAAATTCTCTAACTAAAACTGTCAGTTGATGCCCCATGATATCAGAAATAAGTACAATTTATAGTTTTCTTTCTTCAAGATCTGAGGTGGGGGGCTGGCATCAAAAGAACTCTTTACCCACATTACAAATTTATGAAATTTATGCTACACTGTAGAAAATAGCAAAGAAGTTGTGTTGATTTTAAGTATAGGGAACACAAAATCCAGTTTTCCATTTAACTATTTGAACAAGTATTTTTAATTTTTATGACATCTCAACAAGCATGTCCTTTGTTCTTTTATATCAGTCAAAATAGGAATGAATTATTATTACGATTGTTTTGTTATTCAGATCAACTTGCTTGTCTTTATAATTTATAGTGATAAAATATATAAAGGATAACATGATAATACTATTCCAAATGGCAAAGCATGTAATAATTCCTCATTTAAAAGATTCTAACATAAATTATGAATAATAGAATTCTTACAGAAGGTCTAGACTAGACAAAAATGGCAACCCCTACCATATTGGTCGGAATTCTGATAACCTGAACCAAGTGGGAGCAGAGTTTGAAGTCCATGAGCTTGAAATCCTGACAAAGACTTTGATTCTGGGTTGGTGTTATCACCGTTTTCATTCTAATTCCAGATCAATCATAAAAATTTAAGATATAGAATTAATAGGTACTGAATGCTTCAAATAGCTCAATAGTATAGATCAGTTATGACAAATTTAGTATAGAAGTAAATTGAACATAGAATAGGTTGTGCAAGAGATAGTTTTGTCCAACAGCACAAATTATTAGGAAAACAAAACATTAACCTAAGAACTCAAATCATATTTTAAATTAGCCTTATCATATCTTCGTCCTGGGTATGACGATAAACTACATCTGCATCCTGGGTAAGACGATA